CTTCCCGCGGCTCCGTCAGCAGCCCGAAGGAGAAGCGTCCATCGGAAAAATGGCATATTACAAATTTTGCTTTGGGAAGCAGAGCTCGGTTCAGACCATTGTCAAAGGGAGGAGAGGGGGAGGCGGCTCTTAAAGCAGCAGCGGCCCCTGAGCCAGAGCCGCCCCAGCTCCACGCGTGCAGCCGGACACCCGGCGCGGGGAGCCGGGCACTGGGGGCTGGGTTGGACCTGTAGAAACTTAATCTAGTGGCACTGCTCCCCGTCCAGGTCCAAGCCACCCGCAGGGCATCTCCCCCAACGTGAGCTTCGAGGGGGAAAAGGATGCTGAGTGACTGGCAGGGAAGTTCTCCACCACATCCCCCTCCTGGAGCCCCTCCGGAGTTGACCGCTGACGCCCCAAGTAGGAACGCTACAGGGAAGCGAGTCCCCAGGGATGCGAGAGGCAGGACAGGTCCCCTCCTGGCTGGCCCCCAGCCTATTTCCGCGCTACGGTGTCTCGTTTCACTAAAAAAAAAAAAAAAAAAAAAAAAAAAAGGCAGTCCTTCTCCGGAAAGGCAAGCAGTCAACCCCACACACACCCCGTTTCTCCCCCCAGCCTCTTTGCAAGCCTCCTTGCCGGCATCCGTGGGCCGGGAGGACCAACCTGCCGGCAGCCGCTGTGGATGCTACAGCATCTCTCCTCACTTGCCTCTGGCTGTTGCTGCTGCCGCCGCTCCTCCTCCGTCTCTCCCCCTCCTCCTCCCTGGCAGCAGCCACCTCGTCTTCCTCTGGAACAAGGGCTTCCCCTGGAAGCTGCTGCAGTGGTTTCCACCGGCCCTTAAATAAATTCTGAAGTAATCACGTCTTCGCTCTCCCCTCCCCACGCACACGCGCTCGCGGATACACACGACTGCCCCGAAGCCGCTGCCAGGCTGCTGGGCTCGCGCGGGTCCCCGTGCCCCCGGCGAAGGCGGGAGCTAGGGATGGGCAGGTGTGGGGCGGGGGCAGGCTCTTCCTCACCGAGCCTCCCCCCGCACAATGGTCCTCGCTGGAAGCCGTGTGTCTGCCCGCGCTGCTGGGGAGGGGAAGGGGCTGAGGCACCTTCTGGCTCTCCCGTCTCCCGTGCTCATTTCTTGAAGCAGCTTCCTTCTCCCAGGACGAGGCGTGACAGTCACGGTTGTAAAGACTTGAGTCAATCCAGGGTGTGGCGGCATCTGTCACTTCTCATTAGCTCTCCAGTTCCTCTCCATTCATTGCTTTGGCGATGAGGATTGTGTGTTAAGTACTCCCTGCCCTAGTAAATTTCAGATTTGGGCAAAGTCTGGTCTCCATAGAGTTCTAGTTTCTCTATACCTACATGTCTTTTTACCCATTCTCCTTTTCTTCTTCATTCATACAAACCCATCTCATCAGGGGCAGGGAGGAAGCAGAAGACAAAACCAGTACCTACTCTCAGCAAAAGAGAAAACGTTTCAGTGTGGGAAATTTACATATCCCAGTTTCCATGAAAAGAAAGAGGGTGTGCAGAAGGGAATTGGGAAAGGGGTTTTAAACATTAGGAATAATTTTGGGGTTAGTGCAAGTACCTTCAGGACATAGTGCAGTAAATCTAAAAGGTATGTTTTACTTTTGTTTAAAGCCAAGAGTCACAAGCTAACTAATGAAATAATATTCAAATACCAGCTCCCTTAAGTACAATATTCAAGATACAGATCTTTCATTTTGAGGGTAGCATTTCATTCATTTAGTGACTCCACCATGACATGTGAAATCAAGTACCCCCTTCCCAGTCTCTTCTAGATTGTTATTCAAATTCTGAATCACAAAATAATTCTGTAAGAATTAAATATAGAATAATATGAAGATTTATTATATGTCAACTGGAACACTTTCCCAAATTTAATGTACATGTAGACCATTCATGGATCTTATTAAATTTCAGATTATGATTCACTTGGATTTGGGGTGGACCCTGAGTTTCTGCATTTCTAACAACTCCCAGATGGGACAACACTGTGAGCAGCAAAGTTCCAAACCATCCTATCATGTCATCCTTTGCTGTGACTTAAATACTCTTAACCATAAGAAACCCATTAGCACACAAGGCAGTCCAGACCATTTTCAAATACATCTGATTAGATGATAGCTTTATCATATTAATCAGATATCAGCGCTCATAACTCTCACTCTCTAGAATTCCCCAGAAGACATAAAATGTCCTTATACGTGATAGACCTTCACATTTTAAAAGACAGTTAATATGTCTCTTTGTCCGAGAATTCCTTCCTTCTTAAACCTTGGCTCTAATTTCTTTGGTAGTAAACATTTTTCAAATACAGGGTCATTTCCAGCAAAAGTCTTGATTTGCCTGACTCCCATTCACATATCAAATAAAAGTTTTAATTCTAAGTATAAACCCTGCACATTCAGTTGATATAACAGAGTTGAAAGTCTACTCCATAGTTGGTATCACAGAAAAGAAGAATTTGATCATGGAAGGCAGAGAATAGTTGTGAAGTAAAAGATATTTAATTAAGAAGATGTAGTCTTTATGGATACTCTCAGCTTAGAAACTATACATTCTAATGTTATCACTCCCAACATTATGGCCAAGAGTGTAAATAACATTTTCTATCAAACTGAGAGGCATTATTAAGAAGCAATTTTGCAGAAAACATCAGGTAAAACAATTCACATGAAAAAAGTCACTCCCTGCACCAGTTATTCAAGTTTAGTGACCCTCTACCTTAGCATGCAAGAGAATGTCCAAAGGGCTTGTTACAATACATATTTCCAGGCCAGGCCCCACAATTTCATACTCAGTAGGTCTGTGGTGTGGCCAGAGATTTTGCATTCCTAATAAATTCCTAAGTAATGCTAATAATAGTGATAGGTCAGAAATCCAACTTTCAGAACCACTGATTAAATTAATCTGAAGAAATTAACCTGAACAAAAAATATTTCTTGTTCTGTACAGTAAGTATTTATTCTACAGAACAAGAAAAACAACTGATAAATATTTTCACTCAGGACAAAAATCTCTCATACAAATATAAAACCAATTATTATGCTGACTTTATCATCTACTCCTACTAGTTTTTGATAGGTAAGAATCAATGTTTAAGATGAAATAGCTTACCTCTTAAATAGTCAACTATTTGCTACCTCTTTCATTAGTCTAAGTACCTAACGTCAATGAAATGAGTTACTCCATAGAGGTATACAATATTGTCAGCCATACTCACTAATTCTTCTACTGCATTTTATTTCAAATATGAGTATTCTTGTCTATATACTCTTTAAGTACAACCACTCTCATTTTTACTATGATGGCTATTTTTTCCATCTCTTTAGATATTCTACATATTGCGTGTTCCTTTAGTAGTAAAAATGATCCTATATAATAAAAACCTAATATGCTAAGTGTCCGGTCATCCATTCAACCAATCAAAGCTTAATATGCTAATGATAAACTAAGGCCACTCAACCGCTCACTATGATGTGCAATGACCACCAGGGGGCAGATAGTCCACCAGTCACTATGATGTGCATTGACCACCAGGGGGCAGAGGCTCCAACCGGTAGGTTAGCTTGCTGCTGGGGTCTGGCTGATCGGGACTGAGCGAGACAGGCTGAACACATCCTGAAACTTCCCCACCCACCCCCGCAGTCCCTCTCGGCCTGGCCAACCTCCCGCATCCCTCTCCGGCCCTGATCGTGCACCAGTGGGGTCCCTCAGCCTGGCCTGCGCCCTCTCGCAATCCAGGACCCCTTGGGGGATGTCGGAGGGCTGGTTTCGGCCCAATCCTGCAGGCCAGACTGAGGGACCCCACTGGTGCATGAATTTGTGCACCAGGCTTCTAGTAGTAATAATAATAAGAAGAAGCACTTGTTTTATTTAAATCAAATATAGTTTTGTTTGTAAAGATAAAGTTTACTTAAATCAAGCACCAAAGAAAATGGGTAATTAAGCATGGGCCATGACAATAATAGCGATTTAGTAAGTGGCAGTAATTTTCTTTTAAGTACAAGAATAATTTTCATGCAAAATGAAAACAAGTAATATTAGTTGTAACAGACATGTTGATATTAATATCACCTCATTTCAACTATATAGCTACCCATTTATGAAAATACTTCACCTATATTCACAATAGTTTATATTAACATTATTAAAACAATTAAATGACATTTTGTTTTTTATTTTTTATGCTACACATTACTCTTCTTATTTGTCTAAAGAAGCAAACTACAGAATATGAAATCGATACTAAGCACACACTTGCTGACTCTTGTGACTCCACTAAATGTATAAGTATTAATTCTCACAAAATAAATTGTTGTGAAAGGCTACATTAATCAACCTTTATCTATGCATTTACATGGAATTACTGTAAAATGTAGCAATTTGACGAATAGTCACCAAGATTTCAACTCATAACTAAGAATGTCTTAGTGTTACAGAAGAGCAAAAACTGTTAGTTATTTTTTGAAGTCAAGGTGTGATAAAAGAAAACAAGTTTTAGAGTTTTTTTGCATTCTTTAATGCTATCAGACATCAATGTAGGAGCAATATAAGGGCTCTAAAATAAGTTAAATAGTGTTGGCTTTTGGAATATTTTTTATTCTTTTTAAAGGACAAAATAACATTGTAGAAAATATATTTTCTTTTTAATCCCTGAGATCAAATATTAAAAGGGAAAAAACATTCTACTTATATTCTCTACTTGTTTTTACTTAGAGAGAAGATTTATTCTAACATAAACCCTCATAATAAAGGTTTTCATTTCTGCCTTTATTCCAATTCAGGCAACCTCACTTTGTAATTAAAGAATCATGGGATATTATGCTGGGAGTTTTAATCTAATTCCAGTTTTACAGATGAATAAAATAAAAGTCAGTAGAATTAATTCCTGGTTTTCAAATGAAGTGTCTAAAGAAGCTAGGCAGGTACTTTTTAACTTCTATTAAACATAAATCTTCCAGAATTTGATTCAAAATGAGTAATGATTACCTAATTACTCTGATCATTGACATCACTGATACCAATCCAATATTTCTTTGTTTCAATTGCCAACACAAATAAAGTGGATGAAGTTGAGATAAGTGAGTATTGCTGTTCTTCAGATTAGAAATCATTGGGGAAAGAAAAGTCACCAACATAAACATAAGCTTTTCCTTAGTGTTCACCATTCAAAGACATGTAAGCAGTCATGGATAGTAAATTAAACAATAAAAATAAAATGATAATGCGTGGCTGGTATTGCTCAGTGGTTGAGTGTCGACCCATGAACCAGAAGGTCATAGTTAGATTCCAGGTCAAGGCACATGCCTGGGTTGCAGGTTCGATCCCCAGTAAGGGGCATGCAGGAGACAGCTGATCAATGATTCCCTCTCATCACTGATGTTTCTATCTCTCTCTCTCTCTCCCTTCTGCTTTGAAATCAATAAAAGTATATTTTTTAAAAATAACTTGTATGGATAATCCTTATTGAATGCAGTTTAAAGATTCATAGAGCAATGAGGAATACAAATGTATGCTTTATAAAGACTGTGAATAGAAGACAGCATCTTCAATAAAAAAAAATTATTAAGAATGATTCCTAGACAGTTGATGTTGTGTAGAAAACTTTCTTCAAAATGATTGTTATATATGTCTTTAGTAAGTGGCTCTTGTCTGATGTTCAGTCTTAAATGAGGTGGACTCAAATTTATATCTAATGAGTACAGAGGAGTGAGATGTGGAAGGGCGGTCAAGACCAAGTGGGAAAATGGCAAGTGTCCTGGCATATATTAAAAAATTCATTTCCAAGTTTAGTAGTTTAAAACAACAATCTTTTGGTTATTTATCATAGTATTAGTGGGCCAGGAATTTTATCATAGCTTGCCTAGGTAGTTCTGGCTTGGAAGCTCTCATGGGGTGCAGTGTAACAGAGGCTAGATGCTGAAAGAGTGAAAGTGGGGACAGCTAAAGCAGCTAGGGCTGACTCAGAGGGATGGGGCGCCCTCTCTCTCTCTCTCCTCTCTCTCTCTCTCTCTCTCTCTCTCTCTCTCTCTCTCTCTCTCTCTCCTTTTGACTTCTCCATGTGGTATTGCTAAATGGGATAGTTTGGGCTTCATCACAGCAC